CCCGTACCTACCCCTGTTTAGCCTTGTCTTCGCTGTACTGAGCTGCCACCTCGTTAAACTTCATCCCAGCCTGAAGCTTTTCAATGGCTTCCAGCGCCCGGGACTGTTTCTCACACAGGATGTGCCGCACCTGGGGGAACAAACAGGTACAGGTGTTACAGGTACAGGTGTTACACTACAGGTACAGGTGCTCTCTTAGAAACACTCCCAGCATCACACAATCACAACTCACCAAGTGTTAATACCTTGAGAGACAAATGACTCTGAACTGAACCAAGCGTAAAACTGAGCACCTAGAGACCATGTCTAGCGACATAACAGATGTTAAACAAGGAAAAACAACGACTACAGGTGTTCAGGTACAGGTAAGTATATGACTGCTTCTCAAAGGTAAGGATGTGCTGCACCTTGGGAAGAGAACATACAGGATTGTACAGGTACAAGTGTTCAGGTACAGAGAAAAGTTCAACTATAACTTATAAGACTAAGAGCTCTGCTTGGAGAGTAACACCATACCAGTCATACCACCCCACACCTTGGCAGGCTGACGCCCCCCTCCCCACACCCCTAGTGTGTTTACCTTCACGGAGGTTCCTCCTTTCGACTGCTTACTGTCTCCGCTCGCGCCTGCGCAGAACACATGTACAGGCTTCAGAATTCTTGCACAGAAAGTCATACAGGAAAAATGCTCAGCTACAAATATTTATATATCATGCATGTAACTGTGTTGAATTTGAGACAAGTCGTTTGGCAAGAACTGCACAAAATATTTTCTTTCCTAATTCACCTTCTGCGGCGGCTCCGCCCCCCTTCCCCTTCCCGCCCTTTCCTCCGCCGCCGCCTCCCTTCCCGCCTCCTTTGCCGCCGTCTTTCCCGCCTTTTTTAGGAGGCATTTTGATGGTTTCTCACAGAAAATTGCGCGATTTTACACTGAAGGAAACTCTGCTAACGTGGGACGGTAACCTATGACATGTGGGATATTCTATTACAATAAGGGAGGCTTACAAATATTGCGTCAGCTTTTATGTCAATATGCTTGCAAACAAATGTATATTATGATATCTACTATATAAAAGAAAGTAGTAGTATTATTTAGACAGAACTAAAGTGTGAATATATTTGCATAAAATGTTTTAGTTCTCCAATGAGATTTTCCATCTCCCCATTGAGGCTGGGTTTTGTACTCGTCCAAGATGGCGGAGATCGGTCCTGTTTTGCCTCCGGGATTCAGAAAATCTGCAGACGACAGCGATGAAGAGGGCGGGAGAGAACGCACGGACAGACAGACGGACGGGAAAGGGCGCACGGACAGACAGACGGACGTGTTCGGGCCCGCCATGCCGCCAGGTGATGTATAAAGTACTTAGGACGGTTCCATGTCGTCTGTGCCCCCCTCCCCTCTTTGTTGTTGTTACGAAAATTTGCGTACTCCAGTCGGTTTCCACATGTTTCCACAGGCATCGTGTAGCTGTAAGGTAGCAGCCCTCTCTACTGAGGGAACAAGATTTCTTTGCGTAGAATAAAAGTTACTTAGTAGTACCAGAGACATTGTACAAGTGTGTATAATGTCCTTGGTAGTACCAGAGACATTGTGTATAATGTCCTTGGTAGTACACATTAATCTGAATGAACGAGTGAATTTGCCAGTGAAACAAGGTTGAATGTGTCAGTAAATAACGTTATAGGATTAGTCTGAGGTTTCGATTGATTTGAGTTTCTCCTGGTCATTCTATGTGATAACAGGAAAGTTATTCTTCCTTTCAACAACCAATAGTCGTGAATAGAAAACCTCCATGTTTCCCCAGCAGGTTTCCAACGGTCTTCGCCAAAGCCCCATCAGTCGAATGCTGTGATTGGTCCAGCCCTCCCTCCAGGGTTTGCCAGTCACCAGGGCAGCAGTGATGATGATGATGATGATGATGACAGGGCAGGTCAGAGGTCAGAGGACAGGCAGGAGTTCTGTGGCCCCGCCCTCCCACCAGGTCAGTCTCCTTCCCAAGATTGCTAGCATCTCATTCCCAGGATAATAACGTATACTTTACAAAGCACGTCGGCAGAACGTACTGCACCTGCACCAAACCTGTAATGTATTGTGCATAGCACTTTGGCAGAACGTCTCACATGAGGTTGTATTCACGCATATACGGTTAACATCCCGTCTGTAGTTTCTAAATGTTATGTCGGAAAAGATATCTGCTGCAAGAGGCAAAATTCTGATGCAATGTTCATCAAACATCCAACGAAAACCATGTGAAAATACAGGGTTCTGCGCAGGTGCAGTACATTTTGCTGATGTGCTCCTTTACAAATTTTTGAAATAACCCTGTGTTTTTCTCAAAGACTCTTCATCGAGAATGTACTACAAAAAATCTACTACTAGAATATTAAAGCAACCCCTTCTTGTTCCCAGGTTTCAAGAGGAGCTCCTCCCCAGAGCCGTGCCCGTCGCGGTCTGTGATTGGTCCAGCCCTGCCGCCTGGGTTCAGCAGGTCAGAGGGCGATGACCTGCAGGCCGCTGCTGCAATGCCTGCTGGGTATGATGATGATGATGATGATGATGATGATGCGATGATTGGCCCGATGCTGCCCCCATCAGGAGAGGAGGATGCTGGGATATCTGTGGCGGAACAGTTTGAGAAGAGAGCTCAGGCCATGAAGGACAAACTGGAGGGCAAGGTCAGACAGAACAGGGTTTTTTTATGCGATGTAGCTCCTTGTCTGTACATGGCTCACAGAATTGGCACCAACTTGGTATTGGTTATGGGGTCAGGCAGCAGGAAGAAGATTAAAGTAAGAACTGGGCCAAGTTGTGAGATAACAAAACAATTACAGACAGAATTTGAATGCCGGGGTGTGTCGACTTGACGGACTTGTTATTGTTTGTTTACAGAACCAGAATCCTGTTGCTAAGGAACAAGAAGCATGGATGTTGTTTATTGTTATTTGTTTGTTTACAGAACCAGGGTCCTGTTGCTAAGGAACATGTTGTTTATTGTTGTTTGTTTACAGAACCAGGGTCCTGTTGCTAAGGAACATGTTGTTTATTGTTGTTTACAGAACCAGGGTCCTGTTGCTAAGGAACATGTTGTTTATTGTTGTTTGTTTACAGAACCAGGGTCCTGTTGCTAAGGAACATGTTTGTTTGTTTACAGAACCAGGGTCCTGTTGCTAAGGAACGAGAAGAGTGGATGCTGGAGTTGCCCCCGGAGATGAAGAGTTTTGGACTCGGACCGAGAACGTTCCGGCGGACGGCTGCTCCAGAGATGGGAGACCGGTCCGTGTGGACAGACACACCGGCCGATAAGGCCAGGAAGGCAGCGGTCAGGATATACTCCTCATTAATCAATTAGTTAATCACTCATCAGGCCTCGAAATTTATTTTTGAGAATAAATGCACTGGTGCAGCCAACGTAAAGAATTGGGTGCACAAAAAAATTTGGGGGTGCAACATATCAAATACTAGTAATCTTAATCAACAAAGATTTTATTACTTTTCTGACACTTAGATGTCAAGAATATGCTGTATACCAGTATACATTTAATAATACCTTTGCATATGTATAGCTTCGAAAATATTAGGGTGCACTGGTTCACCCACTGAAAACAAATGTTTTTTGAGATGGTTTGTTATTGTTTTTTTACATGGTTTTGTTATGGTTGCTTTGTAGAAAGGGAAAGACGACACCAAACAGAAGCCGGTGAAACCGTCGGACCTCGCGGCCGCGGAGAGGGATATCAGGTTACGGGATCAAGTCGCTACCTACAATGTAAGGTTCTATCTGCACTCCGACAGTTCAGCTTGTACATGTGCTGACTTACTGTGGGTTTTGTGTGAAATATGAGATGCTTTAATGTTGAGGGTTAGTTAAAGTCCTGCCCGCACCAGGTGGTGCATAGGGCGGCGCCCATCTCTGGTTCAGTAGCCCTTGGGCCACACAATTGTGCAATCACTACAGCAGGTGGCTAGTCCACTGGTAGTGGTGTGTGTTCAACTCCCATTCTCTTTCCCAAGTGCTGACTGCTAAGCAGAGAAAGCAGTATGTACCATTTTTAAAGTCTTTGGTATGGCTCGGCCGGGGATCGAACTCACGACCTACCGAATGCAAGGCGAGCACACTACCCACTTGGCCTTGCACCGGTAATGTTAAGGGTACAGATTTATTTTGAACTTTGAACTTTATTCATCAAAACAACATTGCAGGCTGAAACAGCCTGAATTGTGTTGTAAATTACATGTACATTCATATTAACAATATTAACAATTGTAACATTTTAGCGTTAAAAGAAGTATATCCGATAATGACGTATTGTATAAAATATCGATAACACATTAAAATATAGACAATAATTGAGTGGAACAACTTTAGGATACAAGTACAAGGAGGCAATAGAATTTTTTTTATAAAAGTCTATAGTGTCCTTCAGATTTTTTAAAAGTCTATAGTGTCCCTCACTGCTGCAAGTTCCTTTTTGTATAAGTCGACGTACTAGAAATGTGCTATATGTTAAAGGTGTTTCAAGAGCACAGATATCTATTACATGTACATGTATTTGTGAATAAATGTGCTACAGGTAACATGTACAGGGTACAGAGGGTACAGCTTTGTGCATGAATGTGCTAACCCGAGACGTTTGTTCTTCCAGGAGAAGAAGCGAAGTTCATCCCTGTTAGATCAGCACCAGAAGGCCCGGAAACGCAAGGCTGTGAGTTTCATGTTCTTGATAAAACAAACAAACAAACAAGGCTGTGAGTCATTCACAGATATACAATGTAATTTCACTCTGTCTTGATAGTAGCATAATTTCATGGTCTGAGGAAAACGAACTTGAAATTCCCAGTAGTAGAAGATAGGGAGAAGAAAGAAAAACAATTTGATAACAATGATAGTTCATGAAATTGAAGTGATCGTGAAAACCGTGAACATAAAAGTACCAAGAAAAAATCAAGAATTTCTGTATCAGACTGTGCTCTTGTTTATGTTTATGTGGTCATGTTTATGTTTATGTTGACTGTGTTTGTTGACACCAGGAGGAGGCCGGAGACGAGCCCAAGGAGAGACGACCTTTTGACCGCGACCTTGACCTCGGCGCAGGTCAACTGGACGCTGCCAAAAGACGACAACTCATCAAAAACTCACGTCAACTCAACGACAGGTTCTCCAGCGGTGGACAGCAGTTCCTCTAGTGACTGGACACGGTACTGCAGTCCCTCTAGTGGCTGGACATGGAACTGCAGTATTCTGAAGGGTAGATCCTGTATTGGCTTGACATGGAACTGCAGTCCCTCTAGTGCAGAGGTCAGAGGTCAGCGGTGGCAGCGGGTGGTGGTGTTTCAAGCTCCGTAACTATACGCAAATTTTTCGCTGTATTTTGTCTGTATTTGTGGGCAGTTGGACCCCACAGCTCACTCATCAGCTGGGTAACAAGTAAAGACATCTCTAGAAGTCACTGCAATATTTCCAACAGTGTTATTGGAGAATTATAAGCTGTTAGTATAAACTGTAACACACGTGCAGCCATGTTGCGTCGCGGCGGCCATGTTGATTTCTCATGCTGCTTGTTATTGTGCGCGTTAGTGTTTGCCGGATATCGCCAATTCATGTCTAATGTTTCTTCGGCGCCTAGCCTACCTGGCCTGGGGTTGTCCACGCTGATTACGCCACTCAGTTCTAAATTTAGTATCCGTCACGGGGCGGCGGTACCGCTGGGGTTTAGGGGCCCTACTGGTTTTCTGCTGGCCATCCTAATTCTATCTGGCGATGTTCACAGTAACCCGGGACCAGTTAAATTCCCGTGCAGTGGGTGCGGGCGCGCCGTGGCCACTAACCACAGAGCTTTACAATGTGATAGTTGTGAGCAATGGGTTCACATAAAGTGCTGTGGCGTTGGTGATAAAATGTACAGGTACTACCAAAATTCCTCGTGCACATGGATCTGTAACAAGTGTGGCATCCCTAGTTTTACTAGTAGTTTGTTTGATCAGAATTCCTGGATCCACGACACAGATGGGTCTTTTTACAGACCTCTCTCTGACCTGGACACAGACAGTAATGACTATACCCCCCAGAACCCAAGCTCATGCCAAACCAGGAATAACCCATCATGGACAACACCTGAGGACTCACTTAATGACAGTATATCCTCCTTCAACCCCACAGCTACTTCATCCCCTTACCCCCCACAAAAGACAGGTAAAGGTAAGAACACTCCACATAAGTTACAAGTCATATCTTTGAATTGTAGGAGTATCAGAGGAGCAGGCAAAAATGCCCTCCTCCAAGCCATGATTGATACTGAAGATCCTGACATTATTTGTGGAAATGAGTCACACCTCAACCCTGACATAGGGAATGGGGAAATATTTCCAACAGGCTTTGATATCTACCGCAAGGACCGAAACAGCCAGGGAGGAGGTGTATTTATAGCAATCAAATCCTCCCTAGTATCCTTGCCTGTACCTGACTCTACAAATGCGGAAATTGTGTGGGCTACCATCCAACAGGTAGGGTCTCGGCCCTTGTACATAGGCTCAGCCTATAGACCACCAAATTCTGGCGCTCAGTATATGGATGAATTAACAACTTCAATAAATAACATCTCAGGTAAATCCTTCCTTCCCAATATTGCACTCTTTGGAGACTTTAACTTACCTGGCATAAGCTGGAGTACAGACTCGGCTTTTATTGGTCCCTCCCCGCAATATGGAATGGGGATCAATAATACATTCTTGGAGGCTATCCAGAGTTCCAACCTTACACAGGTGGTACACACTCCAACACGAGGCACCAACATCCTGGACTTGGCTTTGATGTCAAACCCAGAGCTTGTTGATGGGGTCTGCACCATCCCGGGCATTAGTGATCATGAGGCAGTGAGGGTAAATATTAACACTAGTATTAGGACTAACAAGATGAAGCCACGAACGGTTCACATGTACAAAAAAGCAAATAAAACTGAATTCACTAAAGGGCTGCAACAGTTGGAAAAACAGTTCTTCGATAGAAAGCCTTCAAATTTCACCGTCGAACAAAACTGGCAGTATTTCACAGAGGGCCTCAAACATCAAATAGCAAAACATGTTCCACAGAAAAAACTGTCTGGCCGACAGCACTGTCCATGGGTCAGTGCAGACCTCAAACGAGCAATTAAAAAGAAGAAGAAGATATACAAAAGAGCAAAAGAGTCAATGCTTGAGCAGGACTGGATAAATTTTAAGAACTACCGTAGAGAAGTCAAACAAAGGATCAAGAAAGCACATAATGAGTACCTAAAAGAGATACTGGATGAAGCCCTGGCAAATCCTAAGAAATTCTGGTCTTACATTAAAAGCAAAAAACAGTCCGCCTCAGGGGTTGCACCCCTTGTTCATAACAATAACCTTGTAGCTGACGGGCAGGGGAAGGCAGAAGCCCTCAGTCAGCAATATGACTCTGTGTTCACAAATGAAAATGTAGGTGATATACCCAGCCTGGGAACTAGCCCGTATGAAGACATGCCGCAAGTTGAAGTCACACTGGAAGGGGTGCGCAAACTGCTGGACGGCATTAACCCAGTTAAAGCATCCGGACCAGACCTTCTACCTTGCAGGGTACTAAAGGATCATGCTCAAGAGCTTAGTACTATTTTACATTTCATATTTAACCAATCACTGGAGGGCGGGCAGGTACCTGTGGACTGGAGGGGAGCATTCATCCACCCGATTTTTAAAAAAGGGGATAGAAGCGATCCTTCGAACTACAGGCCTGTCTCGCTAACCAGTGTTTGCTGTAAACTCCTGGAGCACATCTTGTTCACAGCTACCATGAAGCACCTGGAAGAGCATAACATCTTATTGCCAACACAACATGGGTTCCGTGCCAAACATTCCTGCGAATCACAACTCATTTCCACACTTCACGGTTTGTTTTCCTGGTTTGACCGAGGTACCCAGATCGACATGGCTATACTTGATTTTAGTAAGGCCTTTGACAGTGTTCCGCATACCCGGCTACTCAAGAAACTCGAATATTATGGCATAAGGGGCAAAACACTACAGTGGATAAAGAACTGGCTGATAGACCGATACCAGCAGGTTGTTGTCGATGGCGATAAGTCTAAACCTGTGAAGGTAAGGTCAGGCGTCCCCCAGGGCACGGTACTAGGTCCCCTCTTATTTTTAATATATATCAATGACATTAATGAAGGTATAACATCACAACTACGTTTATTTGCCGACGATTGTTTACTGTACCACCCCATTGTAAAGGAAGAGGATCATCACACATTACAGAATGATCTTGATCTACTATGCAGATGGTCAGATCGCTGGCAATTGCGCTTTAATGTGAAGAAATGTTCCGTTATCCATATACACAAGTCTAAAAAAGCTCCAAAACATCTGTATACAATGTTCTCTGAGCCCCTTGAGATCAACACACAGCACCCGTATCTTGGAATCATACTCTCACACAACTTAAAATGGAACTCACACATTGAATACATAACAGGAAAAGCCAACAGCACTCTGGGTTTCTTAAGGAGGAATCTGAGGGGGGCGAGCAGAGCAATCAGAGCCCAGGCATACACCTCAATTGTGAGACCCCAGCTGGAGTATGCTTCGACAGTTTGGGGCCCTCACAAGCGACTACATGCACAGACAAACAAACTTGAAGACAAAGTAGAGGCAGTACAGAAGCGAGCCGCTAGGTTCGTTACTGGAGATTACAGACCAACAACAAGCATGACAGATACACTGAGATCACTTGGATGGCCTTCCCTGCATCAACGCAGGCAGCAAGCCAGACTTGTCCTAATGTATAAAGCAGTAAATAACATGGTAGCCATTCCTATACACAACATTCTCACCAAAAACACAAACATTACAAGAGGACATCACTCACGCTTCATCACCATCCCATGCAAGACAGAAGCATACAGAGCCAGTTATTTCCCTCGAACCGTCATCGAGTGGAACACACTACCAGGTACACTCATATCTTGCACATCCCTTGATGCGTTTAAGGCGGGATTGGCCAGTCACCTTGGCCTCTCCGCCAATACCCAGCTGTAGGGTCATTTTTGTTTTCTGGTGTGGCTTTTGTATATAGTTGCACATTTCGGTTTCTTCTTTTTGCAATTTATTATTTATAGATCATTTTTCATTTGTTTGTATATTTTTGTTGCGCACCACCACCTGCCACACCAGCTGCACCTCCTTTCCCGGGACGTGATGTGCCGTGAGGCACTTTGTCCCGTATCAAGTAGAAGTAGAAGTAGAAGTAGTGGCTGGACATGGAACTGCAGTTTTCGGGGGGGGCGACAGTTCCTTTAGCTGTTTGACATGGTACTGCAGTTACTGGCATGGTACTTCCTTCTAACTAAACTGGTTAAAGCATTCTCTTCCCACTGCCACCCTTTCACTGAAGCCACAGGAACTTCCCACTCTATTTTCTATATCTACACTTGTATATTCTGTACAGACAGTGCTTAATCTCTTTGTATTGTTGTTGAAGTGACATTTTGTACTTGTTCTCGAGCTCCACTGATATAGTAACTTACTACACGTAGCAGTTAACATGATTCCTCACTACTGTCTATACCTTGTAAATAAACACAAGACTGAAGAAGTTGTGATGCAAAGTTTAATGCACTTTCCCCTCTCTGTGAGTTCACTCCCATGTACATGTACGTGTATTTTCCTGTGTAGGATTTAAGGTAATCAAGATGGAACTATGTCTGTCTGGTACATGTTTTTTGTACTACAAACTATTCCCTTTTCATGGCAGTTCTGACAACTCATCACTTGGGTCTAAACAAGTCTTTTTGTAAAATCTGATTCAATAGCCAACTTGTTACAGTAATCTCATGTTTAGTCGTAAAAAAATCAAAACATTCAGAATTTTGTTGTAAAGATACATGTACATCAGGCTGAATTGATTGCAGGGATTTTTTTTCTGACTTGGAATGATTACTCAGCGAACACCACAATTGTAAACCACAGACGATAATTATGATGACATTACAACAATTTCTGATTTATTTTTCTCGCTAGCTAACTTTCTCCTGATGAATGATTTGTTCCCAGAATGCCTCAGGGTAGACCCATCTCTTCCAGGACGTTTCTGGTCGCGTCGGCTTCCTGCAAGGCAAAACCGAAATGTCTTAAGGTCTTGTCAAGTTCAAGGCATTGTCCTTGCAAGTATGAGGAAAGAAGCATCAAATAATCACACTAGCCATCCTACATGTTGGAATGATAGCACAGATCATGGTGTGGATGTGAAAAGAAAAAAGCATGACAACAGAAAAACATTTTGCATTGGCTGCCTTTTGTTTCAAGTTCTCAGCAGCAAAAAGTTGTACTCAGAACTGTGCCTATCTGGTTGTGTGCCTGACTGGGTTAGAATCAGACATGGTTACGGATGGTCTCTGTAGAACGTAGATTTGCCCCAGGCTGGCTACAGTTCTGGCTACTCGTGGACTATCCAGAAACGTTTTTGAGGGCAGTTCTGGATAAAGCACATACAGTTTTATATGCAACAGGGGGTGCCTGATTAGGGCAGTGAGTTAATTTACCTCCTGTAAGTCCTGAGCAGGATAAGGGTGTGTATGGGGGGGTTTAGTTGAGCTTACCTCCTGTAGTAAGTCCTGAGTGGGGTGTGTATGGGGGGGTTTAGTTATATTTACCTCCTGTAGTAAGTCCTGAGTGGGGTGTGTATGGGGGGGTTTAGTTATATTTACCTCCTGTAGTAAGTCCTGAGCAGGGTAAGGGTGTGTATGGGGGGGTTTAGTTGACCTTACCTCCTGTAGTAAGTCCTGCGCTGCGATGGCCTTCAGACAGTTCTTCTTGCTGGTTTCCTGGATCTCCCCTCCCAGCATCAGCTCATCCAGGATGAAGTACGCCTTCTCAAAGTTGAAGATGATGTCAAGTTCACACACCTGTAAGTAAGTACGGACAAGTTTACACACAGTTAATGTCAAGTTCACACACCTGTCAGTACAGTCAAGTTCACCACAACCCCCAAAATTGGGAGCACCAGCAACAATCTAGGTGCACCAGCAACAGTATAACTTTGAAGGTAGAACAGATCATTGTATTGAGCATTAACTTGTAGGTCATCGAACATTGTACATAGAAACCTACAGAGTGAAAGTATCAAGATCAGAGAGCAGGAAAGCAATTGTTGTGCCTGTTTTACAGTCTATGATATAGACATTATAAGGAACAATTTTTGATGGGATCATGGATTCACATGATTTAATATTATGGAGGAAAGTGTATCCAAGATAAGTAAATAAATAGTAAATAAACTCACGCTGCCGAAGTACTTGTCGAGCAGCTCCACGTATCTGTGGATGATTTCTAACGTCAGAAGTTCGTTGTCTCCCTTCTCGATTGCGCAGCAGAAATACAGACTCGCATATCTGCAACACAGGAAAGGTAAGTAGGAAGGTAACATTTCGCAAAGCAAATACTCTGAGTACAGAATTAAACATTTACCTTTACATGGTCTAGCCTAACAAACTACTGCTGTTTATTCTCACTCAAACACATTCATGTCACGTAAACATGACTTATGGTTTTATGGTGACCAGCATCTCCAAATTTTTGTCCTGCAACTTGCTACACATTCATGTAATACAACACCACACTTCCATGTTATTTGCAAATGAGCATTATTACGTCACGGCTGCCAGTCATGCTGTTGTTGATACAACTAAACCAATAAATGAAACCAAAAGACAAGTCAGGGAAAACGGAACTGTTTTTGACCTTTTGTAGACACTTCTAGTTCTAGGAAGACTGGCATCTACAAGTTTTTGCCACATAATGTAACCCAATGCCACACTTAAATCCAAGTCAAAATTCACCCCTCAAAAGAAGGAAAAAAAGGAAAAGTTTCCGACCTTTTGTAGACAATTTTGTACTCCTTCCACTCGAGGAAGCTGCACATTTTGGGTTTCCTGGCCAGGATGATGGTGATGAGTTCTCGCATGATCTTCTTCTTCTCTTTCTCCTGCGTCGCGGAGTACCACTGCTGCAGCCGCACCTTGCCTTGTCGGCTAAACAACAACATAAACTTCATCTGGAACAGAAAACATTCACTCGTGAGGCTCAGCAGTTATATATTATGAACGAAACATAAAAATTATCATCACAACTGGCACTCACACACCGCCCCCCTCCCACCACTCGAACTGAGCTTCACGTATAACTGGTCATAGCAGACACAAATCAGGCAGTAGACAGCCCGATTTCACAGAAATAACACACAAGATAATTTTCCTGTGCATTCTGTACGTTTATCGGGTTTTAAACAGCCTAAATCGTTGAGAAATCAGTGCAAAAATCGGACAACTCACCATTTTGACAACCTGTTGTGTACTTCCTCTGACGTCACGAGAAGTGCCGTATTTACCCACAATCCAACACGAGAGTGCACCCGTTCCAGCCGTTCTGATGACGAATACACAAGCAGACGACCCCGCCCCCTAAACGAGTATGTTATAACATAGGCTATGATTTTCGCCTGTTTTCGTGTCCTATTGTGGAAATTTTGTGCTCAGACTTGATCAACGATGTGTGTTCGAGTAACAGCAGTGTAAAAGATCGTGTTGCCAAGGTTACCGCCCGATATTCGGCTGTTCCGCGCATGCACGTGAGTTTGTTTACATGTTACGTCACTGCCCAAGTTGTGTAACGGCCGGCCGGTGTTATGTAAGCATGACCGGAAGTGATACAAACTGGGATGATATAAACTCGGGAACGTGTAGGCTAGCGCAGGCACACGGAGGGAAACCCAAGGACCATCCACTCTGCACTTACAAGTACTCCCAGCTCAACCAGCCTTTTGTAGTAGGCAAGGTAAATACTAAATTAGACTAGTGAAGGCACAAAGAGGAAAGCTCGGGCCTGCGGGAAACCATCTACAACTCTACATCTACACAGTACAACTACTCCCATCTCAACCAGCCTTTTGTAGTAGGCAAGAGAATATCTGACCATCACACCTCCCCACCTAGCCATGTCGCTGTGGCGGAACGCTGTGTGGTTCGTCAAGGGGATGCGAGAATACACCAAGTATGTCTTCAGTTTATAAATTGTTGGTTACTTTTATTGTAAACCTGTGGTGGAGATTCAAAATTATATGATGATGTTGGTACTACAACATAACAAGTTGAATTGATGAATTCGTCAAACAGATGCACACGCAAGTAAGCACCCAAGAAAATGTTGTCAACACTTCCTTTTTCACAGCCTAACCTGAGACACTTGAGTGATCTGTACCATAGCTTGGGAAATTGTATGTTGATACTAGCCTCCTTCGCAGTCTTGTTGATACGATATCATCTTGACCCTAGCTCAGGATATGCAGCTGCAGCCAAGACCTTTGACCCGTGTGACCTGCAGGTGGATGTCAAAGGTCGCACGTTCCTCATCACCGGGGCCAACAGCGGCATTGGCAAGGCAACGGCTGAGGAGGTCGCCAAGAGAGGTATGACACCTGTCAATCACTCGTCATAATGCCTCATGGGAAACCTACCTTAACGACATCTCTCAATCACTTGTCCACATGGTATGCAGGAACCATCTAAAAAGCTACCTGAAATGTCTGACCATTTCCAAAATCATACCCAGCTGCTTGAGTAACTGTTTTGTGACGTATCTTATTACCTGGAAGTCTAACCTTCACTGACTCATCTAAACCTGTCCCCCCCTCCCTTCCCTACAGGTGGAACAGTCCACATGGTGTGCAGGAACCCGTCCCGAGGAGAGGAGGCTCTGAACGAGATCAGGGAGAAAACTGGCAGCCAGGTGAGAACAGGTGTGTGTGTACAGGTGTGAACATACAGGTGTCAGCCAGGTGAGAACAGGTGTGTGTGTACAGGTGATAACAGGCAGCCAGGTGAGAGCAGGTGGGAACAGGTGTGTGTGTACAGGTGAGAACAGGCAGCCAGGTGAGAACAGGTGTGTGTGTACAGGTGAGAACAGGCAGCCAGGTGAGAGCAGGTGGGAACAGGTGTATGTGGGTACAGGTGTGTACAGGTGTGCAGGAGCCCTTCCCGAGGAGAGGAGGCACTGAACGAGATCAGGGAGAAAACTGGCAGCCAGGTGAGGACAGGTGTGTGTATGAGTACAGGTGTGTGTATGAGTACAGGTGTGTGTATGAGTACAGGTGTGCAGCACAGGTGTGTAGCCAAGTGAGCATAGGTGGGAACAGGTGTCAGCCAGGTGAGAACTGGTGCTTATTACAGGTGTGCCAACATGCACTTAATTTGTACGTCTCTAATCAGACACACCTCATAGAAATGATAATATTAATTAAGTTACTGGGTACAGTAAATCAGCACTAAGTCAACATTTCATTTGGGTTCAAATGATCAAAAGTCCCATTTTATATATATTACAATTTATATCCCATGTCCAGCTTGTCCACCTGCACATCCTGGACATGGCCCAGCCGCGGCAGGTGGCCGACTTCGCAGGGCGCTTCTGTCAGGAGCAGGGGAAACTCCATGTGCTGGTGAGTTACTCATTCACTCACTCGCTCACTCACCCACTCACTCACTCACTCACTCACCCACTCACTCACTCACTCACTCACTCACTCACTCACTCACTCACTCACTCACTCACTCACTCACTCACTCACTCACTCACTCAGTCAATGAGAACATTTTACTACAGCCCTTACTATAGCAGCGACACCTGTGCTGCAGTGCAATGTGAACCAGTCAGAATTGCCCTGAGGAAGGTGACAGACGGTCACCGAAACGTCAGCTGTGAATAAAAGACTTGGTTGTGTAAAAAGAGTCTCTTTACTCAGTGTCCTGATGGAACTATTCACAGAGCCCTCATTATAGACCCAAATAAAGTTCATGTATTTATTTTGAGCCAACTTTTGGTGTCCCATTCTTTCTTTTAACTGTTTGGACCTCCTTCTGTTGTTTTCCCAGGTGAACAACGCGGGCTGCATGATCAACACACGGGAAGTCTCGGCAGACGGGCTGGAGGCCAACTTTGCTACCAACACTCTCGGTAAGGAACCATGAGTGAAACTTCATAACAAAATGTACATGTATGTAGCTGATCCACCCTTACACAACCTTAAATCTCCCTGATGAAACAGCCTCTTGGCACCGAATTTGTCTTCATGGTTAGACAAGTAATAGTAGCCATTCCTCTGTCCTGTAGGGCCATGAATACTAGTAGTAAGTATAATTATACAGTAGGTCTTTGAAATTCTCCCATCTGTCGTATGGAAGACATGTCCAAGCCAACGGAGTCAACACTGTTTCAGCTGGATCAGAGCACATCTGAGGGGGCCGGGAAGCCCTTTTCCGTAGAGGGTAATCGGCCGTTTTAATTCTACGTAGAGCGTAGACGGACCACTCTAATATTTTTGCGTAGAGCGTATTCGGCGTTTTAATTCTACGTAATGCGTTGTAGCCACTTGGAATTTATCGTAAAGCGTAATCGAGAGGTTTCCGAATTCAGCGTAGAGTGTTGTCGGGACCCCCCCTTGCAGGCCCTCATCTGAGAGCAACTGCATTTGGTGACATTAGACAACATGGAGAAGGTTGTATTAATTATACCCTGTTAGAGAGATGAATAACTTGTGACGTGATTGCACATCAGTTGACTGACAGGTGACTTGCAGGTGACTGACAGATGATTGACAGATGCATGATTGACGTGTGATTGACAGTTGTTCCTGTGTTGCAGGGACGTACATCCTGACCACAGGCCTGCTGCCCCTGCTGTCCCAGAGTGAGCATCCCCGAGTGGTGCGTGTGTCCTCTTGTCTGTAGAAATTTTAAAAATCATCTCTATCACATGTTCATACAAGATGGAAGATTGCTTGGGTAAAGTTTATCTCTTGCTACAGCACTAAGAGTGCATTAGGTAAGTACACATCTGTGTCCATAATATTGCCACCTTGAGAAAAAGTGTGCCAAAGATATTTTTACTGCAACATACCCTAGGTATGTACATTTGAGGTGTGCAGGAGTGCATACTAAAAGTATGTTGCAATAAAAATATCTTAAAGCACACTATTTCTCAAGGTGGCAATATTATGGACCCTGATATTATGGACACGGATGTTAAGACAATATGTTAGAAGTTACTATGTGCAGTTGTGGTTAAGAACAATACCAATCTGTGCTCCTCTCAGATCACAGTGTCGTCCGGAGGAATGCTGGTTTCCAAGCTGAACACGAAAGACCTGCAGTTTGAACAGATGAGACCGTTCGATGGAACCATGGCGTACTCTCAGAACAAGGTCAGTTTCAAGGTCGAACTGGTATATATGCTGATTAAAGGAAAAGCTACTTGTTTCATCAGTAATACAACCTGAGTTGTTACTAGAACACAACATCTGCTACTCCTCTGATTAGCCATGAAATTATAAGGCTTGATTCTGGAGTTTGTAGACATTTGTGACCTTGCCTGACCTTGACAGACGGCTGTTGTACATAGTTACGGAGGTGGCCATGTTTCTTCCTTTTGTCCTGCAGAGGCAGCAGGTCATCATGACAGAGCAGTGGGCCCAGCAGTATCCCACAATCCACTTCTCCTCCTGTCATCCGGGCTGGGCTGACACACCAGGTCAGTATCCCACAATGCACCAGGTCAGTATCCCACAATCCACTTCTCTTCCTGCCACCCGAGCTGGGCCGACACACCAGGTCAGTATCCCACAATCCACCAGTGCAGTATCCCACAATGCACCTGTACAATATCCCACAATACACTTCTGCTACCCACCCAATGAGAGAACTGTTTTTCAGGTTTTCCACACATGCAGCTGTATATGTGTGGGGGTCTGTACTGTTGGATGGTAACATAAATTAGATACAGTCAAATGATTCACTTGTTATTCTTAAATTAGATACAAATGATTCACTTGTAATTCTTAAGTTTTAAAAAAACATGTTGTGTCCTTGTATCGCAGCTGTGCGTACGTCAATGTCGGCCCCCGCCGCGGTTCAATGTAGGGTGATGGGCCCTGATGTATATGGCTTCCTTCACCCCTCTCAAGAAGTAGTCTTGTTCAGTGTCTAAAATCCTTACAGTGTCAAGTGAAACAAAATGTCCGGGTGACTCTGTGGATGTGTTGAGACACCTCTGAACTGGCTTGTGTTTGTCCCTCAGCTGTGCGTACGTCGATGCCAGATTTCCACCAGAAGATGAAAAGCCGTCTGCGCTCCGTGGAGCAAGGAGCCGACACCCTCGTCTGGCTCTGTCTGGCGGAGGCGGTTACTAGTCAACCAAGCGGGCTGTTCTTCCAAGGTGGGCACCTGTCAATCACTCATAGACTCCAGTTTAGTCCAGTTTTATCTATATCTATAGCTCTGTGGGTGTGAGAGCTTCAGACAATCGGAACAAGTCTTCCAACTATATGAGGACTTGAGCAGTAACAGTTATGATCGTTTTGAGGTCTAAGAATATGGTGTCATCCAGTATATGACGGGCGATCTGGTCAGTATCTAAAGACAGTCACTGGTGTTCTATGTAAGGCCATAGTGACTTTATGGATGACATCATTTGTATTTGTGAACCCTGTAAACTTGTATTTCCAGACAGGGCTGCGGCCTCCAAGCACCTTCCCCTGGCCTGGACCAAGTCTACCAAACAGGAGGACGCGGGTCTCATGCAGCAGTTGGAGGAGATCGCACGCAGGTTCAAATCTTAGGTCTCACACCGAAGTATGATCGCACGCAGGTTCAAATCTTAGGTCTCACACCGAAGTCTGATCGCACGCAGGTTCAAATCTTAGGTCTCACACCGAAGTCTGATCGCACGCAGGTTCAAATCTTAGGTCTCACACCGAAGTTTGATAGTCTCTGATGGAAGTTCCAGCATCAAACCACACGGAATTCAAACTGAACTTTATCTCACAGTGGATTGGAGATGGGGGCTGTACCAGTACAAGCAGTTAATGATGTATAACATGTCTGAGGATGTAAGCTTTTGGAACAAGTTACTCAAATTGGTCAAAATTTAAGTATTAATCAAAATACGGTTCGGTGCCAAATCTCACCATTTTATTCTAGTTGTTCTCAGTGTAGGGATTGACACTCAGGGCTTGAATATTTTTCATAAACCAGAGACAGTTTTTGCCAGTGGAAAAAATTAAGGCTGTTAAATAATCAGTGATGAAATAGAAGAGTCCATTATTTCTCAGGTAATTTATCCCAGCACCAATACCTCAGTATTTAGTTTTTGTAATACACATTGAAGGAAAGAAAAACTTCAGGGGCAACTTTTTTACTTTAATATAACTTTTTCTCCTCATGATGATTGTCATACATATTTAATGTAAAGTATTCTAAACTACAAAGAAACAAACTATTTACATATTCTGTAGTTAAAACCAGACCCAAAACCTTAACTCTGATTGGGTCAGGGAAGTCTGTAGTAGGTTATTCTCTTCTGTTTAAGTTAGTACACTGTCTAATATATGCTGATTCATTATCACAAATGCTGCATTTTTGAAGCTTGTGAGAAGTAATGGTAGCTACCATAACATACATGTAGCTATAAGAACTGCATTCCCAGATGTTGTAACTTTCTTCATGTGTGAATGGGACTCGTATATATCAAGTCTGCCTACAGTAGCCTGCTGTGCCCCTCCCATGTACAAGACATAGTCTCAAGTATATCATTGTTAATCACAATACTTTCCACCTCATGGATTTAAAGACAACAGCATGTTGGCAGAAGGTACTGCATCTGAGCAAAACACGAGCAGGTTTTTCATGGTTTTTGTTGGAAGTTTGGTTAATGCTGCATCAGAATTTTGACCACTGCAGACAATGTTTTTTCCAACAAAATATTTGAGAACTATTTACGGAATGTCATAGTTAAATACACAAATACTACCTTAAAACAGACATACTGCCAATACATCACTTGTTGCATGCAGATGCAGTACATTCTGCCAACGTGCTTGGGACAAGTTAGTGTCTACAAGTTATAACAAAAATAATCCATGTCCAGTTAAGTCCCTGGGACGAGCTAGTCCGGTTTTCAGGTGCATGATGGGAAGTGCTGCTAGGTCAGTAGTAGAAAACACCGAAGGTCGCTGGTGCATGATGGGACGGTCACTGGTGCATGATGGGAAGGCTGCTGGTGCATGATGGGAAGGCTGCTGGTGCATGATGGGAAGGTGCCGTTAGGTCAGTAGTAGAAAACTCCGAAGGCTGCTGCTACACAAAACAACGAGTCCTGCAGCAAACAAACAAACAAACAAACAAACAAACAGTCAGTCACCATCAGGCTGGTCTGAAACACAGTCCTTTCCTATATAAGATTATAAAACTGTTGAATTTACTACTGTTACTCCAGCCATACTTTTAATGTAGAAATTTTGGAGATCAGAGATTGGGTCATGTGGTGTAATGGCAGAGCGTTCAGCTCGGAACCAAGAGGTTCCGGGTTCGAACCCTGCCATATTACCGATCTTGTGCCCTTGGGAAAGGCAATTACATTACTTTCCTGGATGGAAGCCTAGCGAACCCTCATCTCATATTAGCCGCAAAAAGGCAGCAGAATCTTCAGCTAAAGGTCACTGTCAAATTGAAAGAAAAGAAGAAGAGAATGAATCGTTACGACTTACATTCATGAAGATGTCCTGAGCGTAGTTGTCTGTGTCGGCGTCCCAAAAACTTCTGCAGGCCATCCTGGGCAGGGATGGAGGGAACGAGAGAACAGGGTCAGGGAGAGGTAAGAAGTTCCACAATCACAGCTTTCACAGTTCATGTATACTTTCAGGAATCTACACTGCATCTGTTAATAGTAATACCAAGTAAACCAGAATACGAGTTGGATGTACTCACTTGACTCCTTCCCCCTTCTGTTCTCCGATGACCACCTGCACCACAAACTTGTACCTGTCATACGACAGCTCTGGAACAGGAGGGAACAGAAACTGTGTTATTCTATATAACAATAACAACTTGTTATTCTATACCGTACAATGTATATCATCATCATGGGGGTTGGGGTATGTCCATGTACAGTTGAGCACAAGTCATTCAGCTACAGCTGCTCCCAGGTCAACTCCTGTGTCTCTGCACTGGCAACTCTGTACACTATACTCCAGCCCAAATTCATCAGACACTCTATACTCCAAACCTGGCAGTGAAACCCTAACTTCGTTGTTTCTTTACAATTCCCCCCCCCCCCCCCCCCGTGTACACTATATGACATCCAGTAGATTTCTAGCGGGGACCAATCATAGGGCTGCTGACGCGTCACCGACTAGCGGCTATTAGCACCTTGTTTCATGTAAATGCCATGAACTCAACCAGAGCGCGTATATTGTTTCTTGTTTACATCAGTACTAAGTACTAGTACTTCCACAATCAGTTAGTAAAGTCATACCTTAGTAAAATCTACTTTGATGAACGAATCAAAACGGGACTGTAGACAATAAGTTTTACACATTCAAATGTGGCTGCACTAGCGCTAATGGAGCGATCACTACGTACGGGAAGGAACGGATCTTAACGAAGCCGAGATTTGTGAACCAAACCCAACCCATCGAAGACGGGCCGCCAAACATAAAAATGGAGGGAAACGACAGACAACAAGCCAACAAAGACAACATCACCAGACCAACAAACTTGGAAAACACCACTTCAAGCGCTAACGTTGTAAGAAGTGTGGAACCTCAAACTAGTATGTTTGTGTCAGCGGAAAGGCTGTCGAAGTAACCACTACATGAAAAACTGCGGCGAAAAAGTAACATGGGTTCATCCCAAATCTAGACGCAAGTGAGCTACAAAAGTAATAGAACCTATGCATCTTGCTTGTTGCTGTCAACTTACCCGTTAAAGATTGAACCGATACATGTACGTACTATAACTTGCCATACCCGGCCAAAGACGACTACATTACTGTAACTCTTTATTTTGTGCTGTATAATGTATATGCGTTACATTATCTATCATTGTCATTTCTGTGAAGATACTCGTTCTCAATACACATGCTGCAAACTAAAGTAATGGCAGTCCTTCGAAAATTCTGTTTGTAATGTATAAGCGCTTTATGTCGACGTACAATGGGTGTGAAATACATGTTTTCGCCCATCGTGTGCCACCGGCTCGGTGGTAATTGGCTACTTTACAAGTGAAAGAACCGCGTCCGTGGGCCTTGATAAATTATTCAAATTATTCAGCAGCCCTCTGATTGGTCCCCGCTAGAAATTTACTGGATGTCATTCAGTGACGAGCCCCCCCCCCCCCGTTACTATATCTCTCTCACAATCAGTCACACTCACATACACCACCCCCTGCCTATAAGGGAACTACAGCCCCCTGGCCCATGTAAGAAGCCAAGTTTCACCTTTAAGTTTTTTCTTGATCTCGTTGGACAGATGTTTACAGAGTTCTGCCGTTTCCTCCCCATCGTACTCCTTCCCTGTCAGGGCCTCATTCAGCACGATGTGGATACATTCTTTTACTGCTGCAGGTCGGAACCTAGCAATCAATAACAACTTATCAATAACTAATAATCAATAACTACACATAACCAGCATGTGTAACCTGTTCATCAATAACCATTAATCAATAATCATTAACCAATAACTACACATAACCAGCACGATGTTGATACATTCTTTCACTGCTGCTGGGCGGAACCTGTTAATCAATAATCAATAACCACTCATCAATAAACAATAATCAATAACCAGTAATCAATAACTAATGTGGATACATTCTTTTACTGCTGCTGGGCGGAACCTATTAATCAATAACTAATGATCAATAACTACACATAACCAGCACGATGTGGATACATTCCTTTACAGCCGCAGGTCGGAACCTCAATAATCAATGATAATCAATACTGGTAACCTGCACACAACAACCCTAATCTCCAAGCAAATGTTGGGTATGGCTGGGGTTGTTTGGACCGTTATATTTAGTGAGAAATAAATGAAGGCAACACTAAAGTAGAAAAGAAACAAGTAAGACAATGAGAGAATTGATAAATTTATAAAAGTCATGAATCAGATATAAATCAACACAGAACTATGGGATCATTCTTGCAGAGGATAAATTAAAAGGCAAGATAAATTTTCAGTGACAGTCTGTTATGCTCAGTTCGTGGTCATTTTTTCACACACATTTTTAACAAACCCGGTACTCACTTGTGCTGAAAATTCGGCCGAATGACGTATGTATTCTCTTGTTTCTCTGTTTCCTCGTCTGACATCGCTAATCTCTCAAACAGCGAATAAAATCAAGAAAAATCCTAACAAACTTTTTAAGTTGCGAGCGCCGAAAGCATCCAAGATGGCCGCCCTGGCAACGGGAATTGTGGGTAATTTATATTCGATACCATTTTTGTAAAGTTCTCTTTAGATCTTTTTTTAATAACAATGAAACTAATCAGAAAATAAAAATAAATGCTTCACAGGTATATATTTTACAGTTATTGTCATTCTTTTGTTATGAAAACATTTTCATGTTTGGGGTCAAAGGTTACGGGATTTTAAATGGCTATGGCGGCAGTCTGTTCGGGGTTTGGACGTCAGGACCACCTCAAATGTTTGAGCGACAAAAACGCCTGGAAATAACGGTGAGGAAATTTTCAGACGATTTTTTGTTGTGTATTGGCGAGAAAGCGTAGAGTGTACTGGTGCTTATGTTGACAGCTGGGCTGTTTTTAATATATTTGCGCCGGATTCTAGCCTCCATAGCATGCCAAAAACTGGGGGTTTGGGGGTCTTAAGGGTCTTTAAGAGCTTTTATGTGCTATTTTCTGATTGCATATAGTCCACATAGCCGGTTTGGTTGTAACTTTCCCCCGTTTTGAGAACTGGGCTAATCAGAAAACAGCCGAAGACCACCAAACCCCCAGTTCTATAAGCCTGCTAAGGAGGCTAGCCGGATGCTGAGTTTAGTATTCCGCGCACATCCCGATGTTTTTATTGATTTTCTAAGTGCGAGTTTTCCACGATGGAATTTGATTATGGAACACCGAGCGGACATTTGCGGGAGGTCGGGCGGTCGTAAGTGTGCGGAGCTGCCGGCTGACAGATGTGGCAGCTAGGAACCCGAGGTATAACACACAAATTTGGGTTTGTGGGAAAGTTCTGTGGAAGCAACAGCTATGGTTGGGACAGGCTGGGGGTTACACAAGGTTGGTAGTCATGCAGTGTTCAGGTCGTCTGTAATAGGACAGGCTGGAGCATTGCAGTACGGTTACGATGTAGTTATAACCTTACAATCTTGGACTGGCATTCTACACAGCAGCTGTCAAAATGTCACAATGTCTCATCAAGTTTGATAGCTGCTGTCTGACTGCAAGTATTCAGCACAACTGACACAGAGCTGTCCGTACAGAGCTGTGTGTGCTGTTGTTGAGTAATGTCGCCATGTGCTTGTCATCTGCAGGGTCTGTAGATGGAGGCATTGCTCCGCGGGTTCCAGGCACCCAGGTTTGAGCAGATAAAGATGTAACAGTTATTTATTGTGAAACGTTGTTGAGAAACATTGTGTCCCCTGCAGGTTCCGTAGATGGAGGCTTTGCTCCGTGGGTTCCGCCAGGCGCCCAGGTTTGAGCCGTTTGAGCGGATAAAGATGGAGAACCTGACCAGGTTACAGTCTGACCTTTCACCTCCGACCAGGCCGCAGTCTGACCTTTCACCTCCGACCAGGCCGCAGTCTGACCTTTCACCTCTGACCAGCAGAAAGGCTGAGAGCAGGACAGCCCGTGAGAAAGTGATGGGTGATCCAACATGTCAGAGGTCAAAAGACAAATTCCGCTGGTCAAAGGAAAAACTTTTAAGGTCAGAGGACAAATATTATAGGCCACAGGACAGATATCACAGCTCAGAGGACAACAGTCATAGGTCAGAGGACAAATGTAACAGGTCAGAGGCCAAATATCACATGTCAAAGGACAGATGTCACAGGTCAGAGGACAAATGTCACAGGTCAGAGGACAAATGTCACAGGTCAGAGGACAGATGTCACAGGTCAGAGGACAGATGTCACAGGTCAGAGGACAGCATTACCACCAGCACATGCCAGACGTCTGATGCAGACATGGATTCGGAGGACAGTGACCTGGAGTTTGAGAAGATCGGAGGTGAGTCCTGGCAGCCTGCCGGGTCTTTTCTGGGTTTATCAGACACATCATCAATGGACCTGCACTTTCACTTTCTCACTTTCACTCACCTAATCAATACTAACCTGGACGTGTTCCCGCCCTGACGGGGAGGGTTTGGGTTAGATATCTGACTCTTAGTTTTGTCTCAGGCTATTGAAATTTGAATGGAATGCATTGTTGTTACAGTCAATATCAAAACTTTCTACAGTACACATGATGATGACAGCTTACACATCCTTGTTTGATTATATGAATCTTTATTGCATGTTCATTTCCCAAGGGGATTATACTGAAACACACAGTTCTGGTTATAGTTTGGGTTATTATTTCCAGGGACTAGCAGATTTAGGTATGTTGAATTGTTGATGTTAGAGGATCCACCAGCCTGTTTTTACGTGACACACAGTTATGACACTAGCACCTCTTTCAGAGTTGTTCATACAGAATCTTGCAGCTTAATTCTGTACCCTTTCCAATTTATCTTTGTCTTTCCAGATTATACTGAAACATACAGTTCTGGTCCACCAGCCTGTTTGTTCCCTGACACACATGAACAGTTACAGTCTGACATTTTTATTTCTCTCCCAGTGACTCAGACTCAGACATCTCGTACAGAATCTCCCGCCTCCATTATTGATATCAGCGGAGTCGGGACAGGACAGGCAGGGGATAAATCACAGTGAAATATGACACCCTCCTGTTCCACCGGCAGGGTGGATCGGGTTTCACCTGAGCCCCGCAACTTTGTCATGTCTGTTCCTCCTGCTGCAAGTTTCTTTGCTGGTACTGGTGGCCAGTAGCAGGCTTTTAGCTGGGGGGG